TGCTTACTTTGAGAGATTAAAGACCACTTTCTTAACCTACTTCAAAAATGAACAATAACGCTATTAGAAAATTTAGATGATAGCTATTTTTTTCTAATTATTATTATTTTTCTTTTATTTTTTTATTTTTTTATACCTGCAACTTTGGTCTTGTTCGGGTTGGTATAATTATATATTTGTGGCATGAATTACCTTGTCAGTTCTCAGTATCTTAGCCAGATCAAGTTAATTATGCTTGTGCCCCCCCAAAACGACCCTGCATATCAGAGCCTACCACTCCATAGTAGACCAATTATTGTGCTACAATAATATTGACATAAATTAGCACAAAAATAGATTTGTTGAAGGCAGCAACATGTGAGGAGGCCTTCTCCAATGCTGGAAAATAAAGTGTAATAAGTCAGACAGTTTTCAAATAATTTCTTTATATTATAATTTTTATCACTATTAATAAAAACAAACTGCTTTAGTAGTACGGACATTTGGATACCCGTTCAAAGGTAGTTATCATTGTCATCCAGCAGATTTAGCTTTTTAAACTGTTTCAAATTTATCGGGTAGATGAGGCAATTGCTGAGTTCAAATTCAGCGGATGCGGCCGACAAATGCAGCCTTTTTTTTGCCGGGACGGGTCCAACGTGTCCTCCATATCCTTGGATATCCATTCAGATTCATTGCAAGTCCAAGAAAAGCCGGCTACTTCATGCTCAGAGGAAAAATGTTAATGGCAACAACCAGTGGTGAATATTGTACAAGCAGTTTAATATAATACAAGTATGTGAATAGTTCCGTCTGAAATTAATCAAGATAGTTTTTAAAATGGTCAGGTATGTGGTAGATAATGTTTGGTTTATTGAAAGGTTTTATCTGTTCATGTACAAATGGTTTGGCTGACATTTTAGCTCTGATTCTAATATCTGTGCAGAATGGGAACTATAAATATGATATTTGTGATGACAGTACGGCTGCTGAAGCTCATTGAAAATGTTATTAGCATCAAGAACAGTAATCAGAAGTTCAGTATCCATTATTTGCCTGCTTTGTGTGTGAAGTGTAATGGTTGCTAGGTAACAGAGTGTACAGGCGGTGAAAGCTGGATTTAACATATATGTTATGGTCATGTGCAGCCCTGTCAACCTATTGATCCACCATTTTAAAAACCTTGTTAGAAGCATTGAATACTTCCCTTTCACCCAACATAGCTATGCCCATATTTGGTACCATAAATAGAAGACATGCAACATTAAGGAAAGGCTATAAATAATAATAATAATAATAATAATAATTGCTTTAATGATGCTGCTTGCACATAGAAGAATATTATTGCATTGGAAATCAAAAAATCCAACTAAAGTGTCTTTTTGATTTAGCAACATCACGCAATTCATTCAATTAGAGAAATTAATATTATTATTATTATTATTATTATTATTATTATTATTAATAATATATCTCTGTTAAACTTAGTGATCTTTTAGCAGTCATCTTGCATTTGTGATGGTGATTGAATCCATGTGAACCATGTCTTGATAAGTGCACATCTTCACAGTATTTCTTTTTTGTTGTTCTTATTTGTTTTTGTATTAGCTTCAATGATTTGCTCTTTCTGGATTGGTTTCCAACATGTGGTTGGGGTGTGGCGGGGTTAAAATGTAAATATCAGTATTGTGTCTCTTGTATTTGAAACAATATAATGTATCACTAATGCTCAATAAAAAGGAAAAAAAAATGTATATAGCATCTCTTAGTAATTTCTGCAAACCTGCACACAGAAATTTGAAAAACTTGTTCTGCTTTTGTTTTGTTTTTTGTTGTTTCAGAGCCTCAGCGATGAGCGAAAGGGCCAAATAGCCAAATCACAGAATGATGTATGAAAAGTAAAAAAGCCAATTCAATAAAGGGTCTATGGCAACAACTAACAGTGTCCTCTATGTATATAAACCAGAAGAGATCAGGGAAAGACAGGGCGAACAAATGCCGACCCTGCTATGTTCAAGCATTAAAAAAATCACCAGAGAGCCTCCAGGCTGACTATTGCCATACAATCAATGCGTAAAATAGGGAGATTTTACAGTAAATAATTGATGGAAAAAAAAGATCTGGTTAATATTTTAACTTTTAACAGCTATGCTTACAGCTACCTACTTCCTAATCATTTCTTAATGAGGTAATAATATCTCATATTCAGGAAGATAAAATACTGTAATCCTATTTTGAGGATAAGCATCGTGACAACATCCCCTGTAACTTATTAATGATTCCTTTTATCTCAAACTGAATTTAGGCTCCTACAAAAATGATTAATAGTAGGTTTGGGCCACCCCAAACTCGTATATATAATAATATAACTGAAGTCATTGTATGTCATATTGTATCACCTTGCCATTAAGCCTCCTATGACTGGGTGAACATGCCTCATATTAGGAAGGACATTTACATCATTGAGACTAATTCCAGATGCTTTACATTTTTTATGTACATGTTTTAGCAAAGGAGGGTTGTATAGCTTTTTTATTGTGGTATCTGAAAGGCAAGTATGTCAGAAACTGTTTTCATTTGAATTTTTCAAGGACAGAGTCAAAGTATCATAATAGTTACTGTAGTATAATTTCTAGATATGAGTCGAAACAAACACCAGTTTGTGCCTAAATTAGAGGAAGGACAAGCATTTAGATATAGATATTAAAAACTCACAACACTATAAACATACTGTACTTCTCTTAGTACTTTATGTTTCATTTTCCAATAATTCCAAATTTGATTCTCTGTTTATGTAGTTTTATGTCTTTTTTTGCAGTTAGCATCTCATCTCTATTCCACCAACCAGGACGCGTCAGGATAGGTGGGTCTATGGAATGAGAAGAACAGAAAACAGAGAGCATAAAAACAACAAAAAGATGACAACAGACAACCAAAGTAAACATCCAAAAAAGCTTCAAGAGCCTTTAGATGTTTACTGTATTTTCTCTCAACCTCCAAATGACACAGTAGTTGACTCGGCAGATGACTCAGACTCAGCAGAGAAAAAATCAAATTTAACCAATAAGATTTTAGTACAAAAAAGAAGAAAGTGTCTATCTCACAGTGATGGGAGTAACGGCGTTGAAAGTAACGGCGTTACTAACGCCGCTACCTTTTTTAGTAACGAGTAATCAAAATGATTACTCTTACTGTAACTATAACGCAGTTACAATTGCCGACACCCCGTTACTGCACGTTACTCAGGTCGCACAATTAACCTTTTTTCATGATAGGACTCATGCGCGCGTCATGAGAGAGGGGAGGATGGAGAGTGAGGAGGACTCCAGCGGCAAAACAGCGCTTTCAAGATGGAAATACTGGTGTTACGTAGGGCTGCGTTTCCCCATCAGGTACGGTTTCCCCTGCATCTCCTCACAGCGCGGCGGCACGATTCACCGCACAGGCGACAGGAAACACGCATGGGCGTAACAGCCGCCCTGTGCTCGTGCCACAGGGGACCTATGGAGAGCGTGAACGATCATTAGCCTATATGGTGAAAGGGAGAAATATGGATGGATGGATGGATGGATGGATGGTATAGATAGATAGATAGATAGATAGATAGATAGATAGATAGATAGATAGATAGATAGATAGATAGATAGATAGATAGATAGATAGATAGATAGATAGATAGATAGATAGATAGATAGATAGATAGATAGATAGATAGATAGATAGATAGATAGATAGATAGATAGATAGATAGATAGATAGATAGATAGATAGATAGATAGATAGATATAGCTACATGTTGCAGCAACTATAACAACCCAAACACAGGATTTCTGAATTAGACATCCCCAGTTATTAATTTCATACACTCGTAAAAGTAACGCAATAGTTACTTTTACTAGTAACTACTTACTTTTATTGTGGAGTAACTCAGTTACTAACTCAATTACTTCTTGGGAGAAGTAACTAGTAACTAATTACTTTTTCAAAGTAACATGCCCAACACTGCTATCTCAATGATGCATATGTGTTTAATACCCTCACTAAGTGCTACTCACAACGGAAGGGTTATTCAGAACTTTTAATCAAGTAAGGGTACTGATATTTTACAACATTTCTACTCAATCAAAAGTAAAAAGCACAATGCTGTCAAACTCAATTAGGAGTACATTTCACTTGCAAGGACCACACCAAGACTGAATATGAGTTCAAAGGTTTATTGACTAGATTAAGGATAAGAGAAAGAGAGAGGGTGTCATAGTTCTGGGGTCCGTTTTATCAAGCAACAGAAACTTCTGTTTCAGTCTCAGTAGTACTCTCGGCTAGTAAATATCAAGCGTACCCCTGTGTCTGGTTGAATTTTGGGTCCTTAGTCTGATACCTAGAAAGGAATGAGGGGATGAATGAAAACATTCAGCCTTCAGTGGGTTTCCTGAGTTCCTTCAGTTCTATCAATTTAGCTTTTGACAAAATTCCACAAAATAATTTGTTCTGATAAAGTTTAGACCTTTGTTTATCTTATATGATTTGTGAATTATGTATTATGTTCCATATGAGTTTTAAAGCTTTGAAAGTGCTTTTTGCCCACCTGTTGAAGAGGAAATTCAGTGCATCATCTTACTCCACCTGATGTCGCCTCCTCCTGTTGATGATGGAGGACAAGTAAAGAAGTAAAGCAGTTTGGATTTTTTCACAGTTTTATATTATTGGATTTTTCTTGAAGGGGATGTTAGCATGTTGGAAATGTGTGAACATCTTATGGACATCCACTGACCCTCGAACATCAAGTAAGTGTCCAACAGTGTGAATACCAGCTCTTCTCCAGGTTTGAAACCTACCATCCTTCCCTTATAGGCCACTTCAGAATTGCCAAAATTGGTTTATTACTTGCTGAACACAAAGAACGTGACAAAAACAAGGAAGGTGTGATATTTTTCCACGACAGTATATTATATTTTATTGCATCTGAATCTCCCTCTGCAGGATTGCTTTTATTATAAAAGAATAAGACTGTCCATCAAAGAAACTAGACCAGCGGCTAGATTTAGTCTTTACACAATGACACTGTTAGAAAATAGTCTAGAAAATTGTTCTCCAACTGATTGAGGAATGAAAAACTACAACTTTATTGCCTCCTGCCCTACCTCTCTGGCCCGCTCCATAGGGAGCAATTATTATTAATCATCACAGAGGCAAAGTGAAAGGTAAAAATAAATATTTATTAGTTAAATATTATTAATAAATAATAATATTTAATTTTCAATGTGCAGAGTGTCCCAAACAAGTGCAGAAAACATCTAAAATACAATAAAAAACAACCACAACCTGCATCAAAATGAAGCAAATATTCAGCATGAAAACTTGAATTAGAATTAAGCTTTATTTCAGATTTCTGGGTTGTAGGCTGAAACTGAATAAAACACAAAAAAATATATACTTTACACTTTGATCAAATTCAGATCAAACCTAAATGGAGCTTGGTTTAAATTTCATTAAACGCTGAGTTCAACCTCTGTGGATCATCAGGACGCAGATCAGCTTCTCTCTAGGACTAGGATAACCAGCTCCACAGCCTACAGAGAGAAGAGGGATCAACAGAGGAGATCAATAAGTGATTCCATCCTATCCGTTAGATGTCAATAATTGATACAGGACATCCAAGATGAAGCACTGAAAGGACTTCAGTCTTATTCAGAGCAGCTGTGGAGCAGCTGGACTCAATCCAACCATCTACTTACAGAGTCTTCAGTTTGTAGTCTGGATTCTCTACCAGTTTCTGCAGCTGCTGAACATCTGACTGCTTCAGGTTGTTCTGTCTTAGGTCAATGTATTTCAGATGTGAAGGGTTTGACTTCAGAGCTGAGACCAGAGAAGCACAGCTGATTTCCGAAAAACCGCAGCTCCTCAATCTAGATAAAGTATATAAAGATGTGAGCTGATTCAACATGATGCAGGCTGGAACAGTTCAACAGAACTAGTCAAAGAGCTCTCAATAACATCAATGCCAAAATACCTGCTTACTTCCACAGTGAGAAGGATAAATCACAAGGAGATGACCCCTAGAGCAATGTGGTTCTATGTAACTGTGTTTTACTCACAGCAGACAGAAACCCAAGGAGGACTCCAGCAGAACCAAAACCCAGACCAGTAGTGATTTTGTCTGTCGGCCTTTATTTTTTACAGATGATTTCCCAGTAGCTTTCAAAGCCCAAAACACATCACGCCAAAGACTGATTCCCCCAAAAGGTCTTCCCCCGGTACTAAAAGAGGGATATTGGATATTCTGTTAAGGTCCTGGGACCAATTCTACATCAGGGGAAATAAAGCAGCTACAGGCCAAAAATATGGCCCAGCACAGAAGAGCAACATTATCAGGTCAGGATACAACAAAAATCAAATTAATAACTAATATCCCACAATAACTAATATCCCACAGCCCTACCTCTGATTCATCCACACACATTTTGGAGGCAGAGGAAACCAGAGACAAGATAATCAGGTGGGGAATTAAAGCCATATTGCTTCACAATTCCTCTGAAATGTACAATATATCTTAGATGAAACTGTAAGGGTAGATGGACTTTATTGGATCAGAATCTTATAGAAATAGACCAAATCTTACTTCAATATCTGTAGTTTGCAGAGGGAAGACTGGAGAAACCCACTGAGCTCTTTTAGTTCAATGTTCAGGTTGGTTCCGTTTAGGTCCAGTTCTGTCAGATTGGATGGATTAGACTGCAGAGCTGCAGCCAGAGAAGACCAGTTGATCTCTGATAAACTGCAGAACCTTAATCTTAATTAAAAATATAATATTTTAGGTGCATTTAACAGAACACGGATGAAAAACAAAATATAAACAAACAAATAATCAAAATGTAAAAGAAGGAATTTGACTTAATTTAAAAATCCCAGAAACATAATGAAGTGATGTCTAATATTGGATCTAGTAAAACTCATTGAAAGAGTTGAAGCAAGCAGAACCAGAACAACGCTGCTCCCGGGGGCCACACAGTGGCAGCCCACTGCTCCGCAAAGGGGAGTTAAAGGGGGTTAAATGCAGAGTTGCATTTCTTCAGTGTAAGATTAATAAAGTATGCTATATTTCTGTCCTATGTAATATAAATATTGGTTGTATTTTTTCTGTTTGCTCTATAAATATATTCACAAACATTCACGAAATGACAGAGCTTCTCTGTCCTCATTTTGAGAGTCATAATCCTGCTCAAAAAGCCTATTGATACTTTAGTAGCTCACTGAAGGGACTTTTCCACTTGACTGCTGCTGCTGCTATCTTTGCATTTTTTAATTAACAGAAGCTTTTGCAAGATATCTATGGGGAATAGCAAGCATTTAGAGTTATACTGAAAATTACATTTTATAAAACAAACTTATTGATATATAGTCTTAAAGACATACCATACAAGGAAGATGAATTTTGATTTTTAACACCAAAAGAAATCAACGAAACCAAACATAACAAACTTCACTACTTCTATCAAGGTATATAAGTGAAGAAGTTATATAAGAAGAACCTAGAAAGGGCTATTTTGAAGCTGGTCCAAAAAGGCTTACTCCACCATCGACAGCTGGGTCCAGAGAGGGGAGAATCTCTATGAAGGGGCCCCAGATTTTTTTCAAAGAGGTATGTTTTCCTCTAACATTATATAGTATCTTTTGGGGTGTGCAGTAAGACACAAGCTCATTGATCCAGTGTCTAACTTATGGGGAATTTTCAGATTTCCAGTTAACCAGGATACATTTCTTCACTGCAGTATAATAGGGCCTGTGTCCCCGAGAATCCATAGCTTTGGGTCTTGTTCAATTTGCATTCCTATTACCATTGAAGTTGTCATAATGACACATTTCCAAAGGTCTTTTTTATCATCGGGCAACTCCATACCATGTGTATAAGATCCCCATCAGCCACTTTACATCTCTGACATCTAGAGAAAATTTTACTGTCAATTCTATGCAGCCTTTAAGGAGTGTAATATGGCCAGTCAAGTAAATTAAACTGAATTTGTCTGTGTTTTGTGGAGGTTAGCACAGTCTATGCCTGTTCCAATAGATTATGCCACTCTGCCTCCTCATTAGTGAGTTTTTTCCCATTACCCTAATGTACCTGTCTTTGGATTTTCATTTTTGATTGCAGAAAGCTCCAGCTCCTAGAGCCAGAAACCAGTGATACATTAGCACCACCTTTTTGTTGTGTCTATCTAAAGTTTGACTACCGCATAGTCCGTTAGGCAGAAAGGGTGAAGTTCACCACACTACATGAGGAGCCCTCTCTGTAAATGTTTGTGCAGCAACGTTGACTTAGGATGCTAAATGCTTTTAGAGCAAGGAGCATCTGTGTTGTTAGAACTTCCATCTTGGTTTGCCTTGTTTGTTTTACTGTCATCTTCATTTGCTGCTTCTATTTCTGGTGGACTTTCATCAACATTTGAATGCATTTCTGACACACACCTTGGCTATAAGTTGGTTCCGAGCTCATTCCTTGTATGTAAAACTGACCCCGTTCATTGAAAGCACCATTTTAAGCCCCGGGTCTTGCTCCAGCTCTAAGTAAGCTTCAGCTCTTGAGAGGTCTAGGTCTTGAGTATGACTAACCTTCACACTGATATTTGCAGTTTATTGTTATTAGAATAAACAAATATACTATATCTCACCTCAACGTCTGTAGTTTGCAGAGAGGAGACTGGAGAAATTCACTCAGCTCCTTTATTCCAGGGTCCAGGTTGATTCCTCTCAGGTCCAGCTCTGTCAGGGGGGATGGATTAGACTTCAGAGCTGACCCCAGAGAAGCCCAACTGCTCTCTGAGAATTGGCAGTCAAACAATCTGAATAAAGAATAAAATATTTTAGTTGAATTCAATGGGTGCAGATTAAAACTTAATTATGAAAGAATAAATAACCAATGTGTAAAAAATGTGTTAGATTGATGAAAGAGTTGAACCAAGCAGAACCAGAACATGTTCTGATGACCTGTGAAGGTCCAGATCAAGTGTGTTTCTTAGACTCCTCTAGGAGAAATCTGTGTTAGACAAAGCGCAGAGATGCAACACAATCCAGAACCAGAACAACTCAAGCAACTAAAACAGAAGCTCAGTTTTACTGAATGCCCCTAAACCCACCACTCCCCCCTCACTCTGAGTCTTCAGAAACAGAGGTGATGGATTAACAAAACTAGCCAGACAGCTTGTTTGTTATAAAAAAAAAAAAAAAAAAGCTCTGGATCAAGGAGAGATGATTAGGAACAGAAGTTAACCTACAGAACTTTTAGAGTCATCCTGGAAAACAGATTCCAGATCCGATGCACTGAAGTGGGTGCATCGGATCGGAAGGAGCTGTTGTGTTGGACCCGGTCTAACTTCAAGACAAAGATTTTATGTCTTTGTCTTTTCTTCTTAAACATTATATTTTAGATCATTTTATTTTATTCTAGTTATCTTAAGGTATTTATGGTTCTGGTTCTACCCTAGAGGTATAAAATGTAATTCTTAATGTGAAGATGTGATTCAGAAAAAAGGAATAAAACAATCATAGCTTGTCTCATTATCTGAATCTTTCCCAAACCTCTACATCAACACTTAAAATCAATACTTAAAACGTTTCAAAGTTTGAACAATTTGGAAACGAAGTTTGAACTTAAGAACATCTAAAACAGGAAAAACATTCATTTTCAAGGTAAAACGTCAGAGAAAATATATAAAATAAGTACACTGCGTGTAGAACTATTAGGCAAATTAGGATTTCAACCACATCATCCTTTTCATACATGTTGCCCTACTCCAAGCTGTATAGGCTTGAAAGCCAACTACCAATTAAGTAAATCAGGTGGTGTGCATCTCTGTAATGAGAAGAGGTGTGGCCTAATGACATCAACACCCTATATTGTCATGATCTGGCCTGTTTGTTCTCCCTTAATTGGTTATTTCTTTCACCTGTATTTTTCCCTCCCTGCCTCAATTATCATTTATTCCTCTCACCTGTTTCCTTTGGTTTATATTCTGTTCAGCCTGAGCATTCGGGGCCAGATCATTATTTGTTTTTCTGCTAGTCTGTCCGTTCTGTTTATTTCATGGTTCATGTTTTGGATCCTGGCAGCCAGTAGAAAGAGTGTTTTTATGTTTGTCTTGTCTCCTAATCGTCCACTGTTCCTCCCCTCCTGAGTCCTCAGGGTTTTTGGCTCTATACGCGGTGAAGAAAGGTGGCTATATTGTTCACTGATTTGTTTGATTTTTTGTTTTTGAATGTCTCAAATGTTTATTTCTGAATTTTGAGTTGTTATATTTTGTTTTACCTGGTGAAAATAAAAAAGTGAGATGGGTATATATTTGTTTTTTTATTACGTTGCCTAACAATTGGCAATTGGCCAAATCTAAAGAAAACACATCAACTTCCAAAAATAGGAAACTTTGAAATTAAGGAGTCTTTTGGGTTGGTTGAGAACACAATTGTGGCCCTATAATAAAAATAATCCTCAAAAATACAACTTGCCTAATAATTCTGCACACAGTGTATTTAAGTATCAGTGAATGATTTGGTTTGAAAAAACATAAACTCACTGCAGACTCTTCACTTTGCAAATTGGATTCTCCAGTATCTCACACAGATACTTAATTTCAGAGTCTCCAAAGGATACACCTCCGTGGATCTTTTGTATTTCCACTTCAGTCAAATGAAGGTTGGACTTCAGAGCTGAGGCCACAACTTCACATTCAGCCTCATAGAGTTTACAGCCACCAAGTCTGTGATTAGAGGGGAAATAAAGACACTTCTAATGTAATCAGACAATCTGGATGATAAACACAGACTAAAACATGACGAGCAAACAATGATGTCATCATCTCATGAAGGTCTGCTATCCACATCAATGTCCTGTGTTTTACATCACATAATCTCTTCAGTCTCTTCAGGTCCTGGTTCAGCTGCAGGCCAGGTGTGTTTCTGCTTTGGTCAGAAGCTCCATTGAACCACAGTGATGGACACAAACAGAGAACCTCAGCAACAGGTTTAAACAGCTCAGGCTTCATATTCACAGAACAACACTGAAGGTTTTAACAGCAGCCATTTTGGCTGCCTCTTAGCAAACCTCCCTATTTCTTCATGCTAAGTTCATACTGCTGTCTGCTGCAGAAACAATATGGATCCACAGAAGATCTTCGTCAATACCAACATTAATTTTATAGAAAAGGAAGGAATGGATTTAATCCACGGAGCTAATATCCAAACAGTTAGAGCATTTCGGATGGTGATGATCAAAAATAAACTAAGCAGCATCAAATATTTTCTATTTACCTATTTTGTATCTAAGGTTCAGCTTCTTTAGGGTCATGGCTCCACTCTCTCTAAAAGCCAATGGCTGAAAGGCAGGATCCACTTTGGACCGAGGAAAATAAATCCTTGCAGGAAATTATTTGATAATGCCACATTCTGAAACCCATCCAGTGAAACAAAAGAAGTGAATAATCTATTCAGATGTCCATGGCAGGATCTGTTTATCTAATTGATATCAAAGCAGAATCATTTGGATCCACCCCCCAACATCCAGATGACCTCCTGACACTAAACAGTCATCAGACTCTCCTTCCTAAGAAAACCTTGGACCTTCAGCTGCAGTCAGATGCTGCAGATCTACCAGTATGTGAAGGAAAGTTCAGTTTTCTCTGCAGCATCTAATGGAGCTGTAGCATTAGATGTTCAAAGGAACTGAAGCCACTAATGAAGAGGCTGCTTTTTTGCAGAAATTTCATAATCTCAGACATCAGATTTTCTTTCTGCAGAGGACAATCTGCCAGTAAAAATCCCAATGGTGTAAGTTTCAAGCATCAATCCCCATCAGAAACTGTTTGGAGGGATCAGACCGGATCAAAATGGAGGCTTGGGGCAAACTTCTCTTTTAAAGCTGTGAATTCTGATGTTGCTTAAGTGATCCAAGTAAACTGCAGTTTAGTGGATGTTAAGGCAGATAATTGGGAGACTAATTGGCTGTAGTTCTTGATGAAACATTGGTATAAACTAGCGAAGCCAAGAAATCTTTGTTGCTGCTTACACAATTCTGAAATTGATTCCAGTACAGCCCTATCTTTTTGAGGTCTGACTGATTCTGTCAACTAAAAAATTTAACACAGAAAGGTGATGGAGAATTTATGAAATTCACTTTTTTCAGCCTTGACGAAAAGTCAATGACTGTCCATCACTTTGAGTGCGAGGTGGATGGGGGCAAGGAGGAGCTGACAATCATTTTATGCTTCAATGGACAAATGATTAATTGATTTTGAAAATATTTTTTAATTAAAGGTATGGTAGTATAGTATCAATTATCTCTGTAGCTATGTAGAAAGAGGAGAAACGTAACATCCGATAACTTTTCTTTTCTCTGACACACTTGAAACTGACGGTGGCGTTGGATGTAGGAGTTTGCCCTGAGATCGAAGGATTGACGGGTTCAAGCCCCTGCTCTGACTTTCATTGTTGTTGTGTCCTTGGGCAAGACACTTCACCTGCATTGTCTACTGATGGTGGTCAGAAGGCCCGGTGGCGCCAGTGTACGGCAGCCCTGATTCTGTCAGTGAGCCCCAGGGCAGCTATGACTACAATGTAGCTCACCACCATCAGTGTGTGAGTGTGTGCGTGAATGGGTGAATGAATGTAGTGTGAAGCGCTTTGGTCAAGTTACCTGACTTGAAAAAAAGTACATGCCATTTACCTTTTACCAAAAACTGCAGACCAAGAAGAAAAGTCTTGTTGGCACAATGAATAAGAGCATTATAGTTCCCTGTGTCAAAGAAAAAAAGGCGGCCTACAGCACTAATTTGCTAAAAAAAAAAAAACAATGCCATGACACTTATGGTATATTAATTCAAAGTGCAAAAATAATGCATGCATTCTTGGCGCTACCCACAACTCAGCCAGTACGTACATTCAGCACCCAAAAGCAAAACCAGAGCCTGTGGTCTACTACAATCACACAAAGGTTAGCATGGATGTGTTTGATCAGAGGATTAGTAAGTATTCTTTGAAAGCGCTAAAGCGAAGGCGGCCTGTGGCTGTATTTTACAATCTCCTGGAAATAGCTGCTAAAAACAAATTGGTTTTGTTAAGGAGCTTTTTGAATGTCACCATCATACAAAGGGACTTTATACTTGAACAGGCAAAACAGAGAGCCTCAGGTTACCAACAACTTCGCCAGAGAATTTTGTGAGGTGAGCTTTGGTGAGGTAAAAGAATCAGTGTCAGCCCTGCACACACAAAAAAAAAACTGAAATTATGTTTGTCTCAAATGTGAAAAGGTGCTATTTATTGTTTTCGAGGGGAAATAATAATTTAATTTATTGTCAAAGCTCTTGCATTCCCATGGGCAAAGTGTCACTCATCATATTGACTGCCAGTGGGAGTTCTAGTAGTGTTGTATTTCTGGGAATCCAAATTTTAAAGGTTTTAATGTCTCTGGCTGATAGGATCTTTGTGGAGAACAGAGATTTTCAACATTCTGAAGGTCTGCTTTTCATGTCAGTGGAAGGTGAGAAATTATGAAAAGCAAAATATTTGGAAAAATTATCCAAATTTCTAAATACCAAAACCTCTGGCAGAGCTGTCCTTAAGAAGCTGAGTATTTGGATGTTTGAATAGCTTAATCGGCCCAGGGATGAAGGAAGAAGTTAAAGAGATTTTTAATCTCAATGGGTATTACCTGGTTAAATAAAGGATAAATAAAAAATAAAAAAAGAGCAAAAACATCCAGAAGCAACTAGAACAATGAAAAACAACCAGGAGGACAATAGATGTGAATCAGCATCACACCATGAGGACATCTGGACTCACCGAGCTTTTCTGCAGTTCCTCACAGCTGGGACCAGTCTATGTCGTCCATTCTCTGATGTTTTGTACTTCTGCAGATCTAACTCCTCCAGAATTTCCTCTGACATCTGCAGCATGTAGGCCAGAGCTGAGCACTGAATCCCTGTGAGCTCCTTCTCTGATCTGTTTCCTAATTTCAGGAACTCTTGGATCTCTTGATAAACTGAAAGATCTTTCATCTCCATCAGACAATGGAAGATGTTGATGCTTCTATCAGGAGAGATTCTACGAGTGCTCATCTCCTTCAGATTGCTGATGGCTTTTTTGATGGTCCCTGGACTGTTCTCTATCTTACCCAGCAGCCCTCCTAAGAGGCTGTGGCTGGACTTCACAAAGAGACCATGAAGGAAGCGAGCAAACAGGTCCAGGTGGCCATTTGGACTCCCGAGGGATGTTTTCATGACTTTGTGCAGAATATGAGGTAGAGAGGAAAAACGATGCTTTAAGATATCAGAGGGATGTTCTTCTTCATCACTGTCATCTTCATAACTGGCCTCATTCTTCTCCTCAACTACCTGAAGGTTCTCCTCCCCTTCTGTGTTCCTGCCTATCAAACAGTGGAGCATGTAGACTGCAGCCAGAAACTCCTGGATGCTCAGGTGGATAAAGCAGTAGACAGATTTCTGGAAGATCACGCGCTCTCTTTTGAAGATCTCTGTACAAACCCCCGAGAAGACTGAGGCCTCTGTGACATCCACACCACACTGCTCCAGGTCTTCTTGGTAGAACATGATGTTTCCTTTCTCCAGGTGTTCCAAGGCCAGCCTCCCCAGCTTTAGAAGAACTTCCCTGTCAGCCTCTATTAGCTCCTGTGGATTTGTCTCATGCCCTTCATGGTACTTGTTCCTCTTCCGCTTAGTCTGCACCAGCAGGAAATGTGAGTACATGTCAGTCATGGTCTTGGGCAGCTCTCCTCTCTGCTCTGTGGTCAACAAGTTCTCCAGAACTGTGGCAGTGATCCAGCAGGACACTGGGATCCCACACATGATGAAGAGGCTCTTGGAGGTCTTGATGTGGGAAATAATCCTGCTGGCCTTCTCCTCTTCATTCCTGAACCTTATCCTGAAGTACTTCTCCTTCTGGACGTCAGTGAAGCCTCGTACTTCTGTTACCCTGGAAACACAGGACGGAGGGATCTGATTGGCTGCTGCAGGTCGGGAAGTTATCCAGACAAGAGCAGAGGGGAGCAGGTTCCCCTTGATTAGGTTAATCAGCAGAACGTTGATTGATGACTTCTGTGTGATGTCAGAAACAAGCCGACTGTTGCTGAAGTCCAGAAAAGGTCTGCTTTCATCCAGGCCATCAAAGATGAAGAGAAGCTTCCAGACAGCCAGCTTCTCTGCTGGGAGCTTCTGGAGGTTTGGATGGAAAACATGGAGCAGCGTGAGAAGACTGTGCTGCTGATCTCTGATCAGGTTCAGTTCCCTGAAAGAAAACAGAACCACAGCACTGACATCTTGGTTCTCCAAGCCCTCTGCCCAGTCCAGAGTGAACTTCTGCACTGAGAAGGTTTTACCAACACCAGCAACGCCGTTGGTCAAAACCACTCTGATGGCTGCATGTTGATCAGGAAAGGCTTTGAAGATGTCATGGCACCTTATTGGAGAACCATGGAGGTTCTGGATCTTGGAAGCTGTCTCCAGCTTCTTCACCTCATGTTGGGTATTAACCTCTTCACTCTGCCCCTCTATGATGTAGAGATCGGTGTAAATATTGTTGAATAGGGTTCTACTTCTTGCATCACTTCCTTCAGCCACACATTCACATCTTCTCTTTAGACTGATCTTATGTTCCTCTAGAACCTCCTGCAGACCAAAATCTGCTGAAACACAGAATAAAATATGACTGAAAATAAAGATTGGAAGATGAAATTGGAACCAAACCATCTTAAACATTAGGTGTTATCATTAAAAGGTCTCTTCCTTCACGTCTGAATGCTTACACACACATATATTAAACTTCGGAGGTAGCTCGCTTTTGACAGGCTGAGACAGTTAAATGAGAATAATATGGATTTTTGTTTTGCAGTTTAGATTTTTTTAATTACTGTGTTTTTTGTTGGCGTTTGTGGGTTTGTTTTATCTTATTAGTTCTGCTACCAGCTCTGTGCTTCAGCACCGACAGAAAACTTTGATAGCTCTGTTGGTGGTGCTGCTTACTCTGCCTTGGCCCTGCCATCTTCTGAACCTTTCTTTCCTCTCCTACTTCTGTTTGTTCACTCATTTTCACCACTTCTTCTTCCAGACCAGCTATGCTTATTCTTCTTCTCTTTATTTCTTTTCCTCACTCATGGGGCAGGCGCAGCAGACTATTTCAATCATGGCTTTGGTTTTGAGATAAAAGCATAAACGTGACACAGCAGTCACATTTGGAAAACCACGCCTAGCTGGAATTTTCAGCCAGTGGTGTTGTTTTTTTTCCGAATCCTGATAATGATGCATTAAGGGTTCACAAAAAACTCAGACTCAAAGTTCTGACATGCTGATGACATCCGACTACAACTTGGCATTAACGGAATGGTCAAAATATCGCATTTCGCACAGAGGGCATAATTGTCATAAAAATAAGATAATTATCATACAGCTGACGTACACACTCTTTAGTCACCACATGCATAAAACAGCTCAACAGAGGAAGTCAGTCCAATATTAGTACGAACAAAAACAACAATAATAATAACCGAGAACTCAAATTATAAAGTACAATACATGTCAAATAAAAGTGTGATATTATTTTTAAATTTTTATGTTTCCCTCTTATCTTTCTTTGGGATCATAGCTAACATTTTTAAAACCATAAAATCCAGAGGATAGTGTTGTCCCTACCAACACTGATGATGATCAATATTTACTTTTAATTAGTAAAATGTTAGGCCCTTAAAATATTCTTCATGAGGTCTACTGTTCAGAGAACGTTACCATGGTAACCAGCATAACTAAGAATGAATCCAGTCTTGTGGCACCAGAAAGTCAGGGAAAAACCAGAAGTCGTCACACTAATCCACTAATCCTGCTTCATTGTACAGACCTCGACTTAAGGAGCTGTCCAGTTTTAATTGATTCAGTTCAAAGGGCTGAAACAAAACCAATTTAGAAAACCCAATAGATTTTCTAAAAAAAGAGACTTGGTTGGAATAATTGATCCCAGAAAGACTTCAAAAAAACTTAAATCTTAAAATCCAACTAAAGAAATGGAATTTGTTCAACAGAGTGGGTAGAAGGAAGCTCTGATTTGAGATGTTCAGTCTTACCTGCTGCATAACTGCTCTGACTGGCTGTCAGCGGTCCAGCTCCGGTTCTGGATTTCTCTCCACACTGGGGTGTGCTCTTCCTCTCTCTGTGAAAACATTTCTTCATCACTAAAATGGTTAACTACCAACAGTGTGGGGCTGTCCTACTGAAGCTGAAGATGGTCAGGAAAGTCAACCACAAACAGAGGACAGCTTGGTGAGGACCGTTTCTTTGCTTTCTATTTTCTTTCTATTCTTGATCCAAACTGGAATATGGGGCTCCCCAGTTAGAAGGAACTGATTTAACTCAACAGCTGTTATATATAGATCTCTAACCTGATATATCATTCCAGCCTTGTTCTGAGATCATCCTATTAACTTGCAGATTAAGCTCATTCTAGATGAGATTGACTGTGGAAGGAGGAGGAGTTCAGCCTGTGAGCTGGAGCACAGTCAGTCTTTACCACTGAAACCAGTTCAAACTGGGAACTGCTAATTAGCTTTTAGTGTGTCTCTACCATCACTGCTGTGTTCTATCTTCCAGCAGCTCAGCTCTGACACAACCTTGAATCTGACAGGTATGAGGGTGGAAAGAACAGGAAGGATTTAGCTAATGGAGCTACAACAGGAACCAAGCCCAAGACAATTTGATCAGGGAAAATAGCCTTGGCAAATGGGGCATTTACTCTACCAACACATTCTAACTCCCAGCTATCCAAATACTGATGCCTGGTGAAAGGCCACTGTGTGTCATACTGACCGGACGGGAACACCCTTCTTATCATTGCTGATTTAGATTCAGAACTGAACAACTTCTGGGATTTATCAAGCAGGAAGGAGAGAAAATGACTTTGGACCTTTTATTGTTCGGTTGGATGTTGATAAGAGAGCACCAGAACAAAGTCCAAACCAGAGAGACACTTAAGATCAACCATTTTAGATTATAGAGGTTCTATCTCTGCAGAGTCACATCAATCAGTTAGAGACTGGTTCTTTACCTTGGATCTGAGGGTCCAGATTCTGCACTGAAGTCTAAAATGTTTTCTTTGGACCTGTCGCTCCTCATAGACGGACCCGTGGATCTCGAAGTTTCTGCTCTGTCGTCCTTTAGATCCCAGTCTTCCATCTTCTGGACTTCAGTCAGTCTAAGAGAGAAACCAGAACCAGTCAGTTCCCAGTGTTTCAGATCCAAATGTCCCTATTTTGGAGGACCTGTGGCAGCAAAAGTTGTCACCATGATTTGCAGGTAGAGAGAGAAGTTGAGAAATCTTAATAGGCCTACCATCCTTTAAACAGAAAAGCTTGTAAATTTTCAATAAGGGTTTATCTGATGATTGATGTTTTATAATTGACTAATAATTTTTAGTCTATATATATCAGAGCTAATTAGGAATTGTTTTGCTAATGTATTATACTGATCTGGTTGAGTTGTGTTTGTCATCTTCAGCATGAGGAAAAGCTAAGATGAAGTGAGAGGCAAACTGCAAGAGGAAAGAACCCATGGACGGAAACAAGAGGAGCAGTGTATTCTCATTATGAGTTCGTATGAAATCGTACAAAAAGTTATGCACCCTAATTTCGTACGTTTTGGACGTTTTTTTTGTCGTATGCGCATGCACATTTTACGCACCATTCAAGAACATAGAATTTGACATACAATTAACCCTGACCCTATAAAACAGCAAGCAACGTAGTTAGAGACATGAAGAAGTGATTATTGCACTGTTTTTCCCAGTTTTACGTCCGTCCGCGGATCTGCTTTTTTTGTCTGTCTGCCTGCGCATGCGCACTAATCTGGTTTTTTGAGGAAAAACGTCCAAAACGTACAAAATAGTGTGCATAACTTTTCGTACGATTTCATACGAACTGATAATGAGAGAAGTTGAGAGAAGGGATCGATGGTCCCCTGATGAAATTGAAATGTCCATTTTATTGGTTAAGCTTGTAGCTCCAAATATAAATAAATGTGTTAGTTATTTTTTTTTTAGGCTTTCCCATGTCAATATCAGAATTGTAACATATCCGTCAAATTTGATAAATATATGGTGATCTAGGTTTTGTCATCCAGCTCTAATTCCAGCAGTTATTGATAGCTGACTGACCTTAGATCTGCTTGTCCAGGATCATCACTGAAGAATGGAATGGAGATGATCTTTGGTCTTTGTCACTATTTATAGAAACACAGCTGGGAGCTGGAGGTGCTGCTCTGCTCTCCTGTTTTCCAATAAATGTTCCTCTGTCTTTTCTAGTTTGAAACCTTTCTGAAAGGGAAACGGAGACACTCAGTTAACAACATCATTGTTGAATCGTGACCTCTGACCTTAAGTTCTGCAGTGAGGGCTGAAGAACCAGAACAAATAGGTCTGTTCCGATAACAAGAAGTTCACAGTGAGAGCAAATGTTATAAAAGAAACCACCACAGCAACCTTTGTTTTAACAGATATCAGAGAAGCTTTGTTCCTCCATAGATCCAATCATCATCAACACATTTATTGGTGTTGATGCCAAACAGAGCGGCAGACCCAGAGACAAAGTAACCCTCTCTGTGAGCAGATAACCAGTCAGAGTTCACGTCTCTCTCTCCTCACAGAGAGAAAAACTCACTAAAAGTAAAGTTACAATATATGAGTTTACCTTTAATTTCAGACTGTTTTAATCCACCTGTTCTTCAGAGACCAAATAAAACCTGAGCTTGTGTCTTCTTCTTTACCTGCTTCAGGTAAACATGAGAACCAGGAAGCACTCAGCCCCTCCCATCCTCATTTACAGGAAGTCAGGCGAGTTTATCTCTGACTGTTACTAAACATAATGGGTTATAGGACATTCAGTAATCATATTAATTATTTAACCAAGATATTTATCATGAAAGAGACATAAAGATGGCCTTTGTTCATAAGCTGATATTTTCTATTGCGTTATTGTACATCTATACGACACATCAGAAGCTCAGTTGCATAAAAATATTTTTTATCAAAAGTCAGATCATATATTTTTTTTATCTCTAAGTAAATGTATGCTCAGTTACTCTCTTGTAAATTTTAATACATCTAGTTAAAAATCTCTAAGTTATATATTGCCTTTACATTTATCAACAAAATCAAACATTGACATTTTTTTTTATAAATTTGAGTTATTAAATAACTACATCTCTGTAAGTGTGAGTTAACTGGCACCATTCTATCAGCAAATCCAATTTTTCTCATGACAATGTTTTCAAATTTGTGGTCAACAATCGTGAGCATTGGGTGGCACTCTCCTTTGTTCATATAGTGACAGCAAAGATACCACTCTTGGAAGTTGTTGTGACTGGATTTGATGAAACCTTTAAGCCTTTCTGTATAAAATCAATATTTCGATCAAGATGACAAAGCTTGTTGCTATATATACGAATTATACTCTGAATTGTAGTTACTGACATTTGGTTACCATGTTTTATTCTGACAAACCAGATCTTCTTGATGTTCTTTTTCCTTATTAGTGTGATGCAATTGCGGATCTTGAGCTGGCCGGCTTCCTACGGATCGGAGCGGAGAAAAAACTTGCTTGGCACCCTTAACCCCATAAAGACCCTTAAAGGGATAGTTCGGGATTTTTGACATGAATCTGTATGGCATCCCCATCACCAGTGTCATGCAATCACACTGACTTACCCCTGGCAGCATCCTGTGAGCAGAGTTCTCGTCCAGCTTTGGTCAAGCCGAAAGTAGTCCGGCAGGTTTGCTAGACCCAGCGAAATAAAACGTTTCTCTTCCCAAAACATTATGTGTTCAAAAGAGTGATATTTTTGCATCCCAAAAACATTGTAGTGGAAAAAGTCACAAGTCGTTATCACTTGGTCCTATTTTCTCTCTGTTCGTATCAGTGCGCGCGACACCATGACCTGACAGCTAGGGCCTACTAACCTGACAACAGCCAGATGCATGTCTCGCTCCGCCTAGCTCCTAGCTGGGCGGAGCGAGACATGCATCTGGCTGTTGTCAGGTTAAGGGCCTACCTGTTTGATTCGCGATTGTTTACTACTGGGGAAGATGTCTGACTACGAGAGCGACGAGGAAAACATCGACTTCCACTTAGAGCCAAAGGGATATCTTTATGAACCCGAGTACACTGACGATGAACTTCGACAAATGGAGTTAGATCGGGCAGAAAGAGAGAGGGTGGACAGAGAAGTGATGGAAGCTGAAGCCGGAGCCGCAGGAGCCTCAGCTGGAGCTGCGATATCCAGGGTGGCCGACAAATCATGGTGCACTTGTTTCAAGTGCGAATTAATGCAGACAGAGGTGGATGCTACTGTTGCCACGAGTGGGATTTAGTAATGCCCGAGATACAGAACCTTTCCATTGATGAGGATGTCGGAGTTGCAGCAGCTGCTGTCTGCATCACAAACAACAGCGACTTTAACCCCACACTGCTCCCTGGGCGCCACGAATGGGAGCCCACTGCTCCCCAAGGAGATGGGTTAAATGCAGAGAGTGAATTTCGTTACACTGTAATTGTGACAGTGTAATAACTAGAAAAAAATACTGTAAAAAATATTGTGATGCTAAAGGAAGGAGAAGATGTACATGGATGTGGAACAGTTATCATTGATTAACATGACTGCACATGTGCTCAGCACAACATACGTGAGCGGGGTGGAGTATTGACAGAGGATGTGGAATCTGGTGGTTAGATGCCCTTACTGTTCACTAAAGATCCGTTTCTAATAAAAGTTTTGAAAAATATGTCTGTCTGCCTAAATACTGGATCCTATTGTTCTGCACATGACACAATGCTTTCATGAATTGATGGACCTCAGACTTTGAAACTGCAAAAACTTTAGATCTTATATCATTTTTACTTTTGAAATTATAGAATAAGTGTGGGGGACATTTAAGGACTTTTTTTTTTTATAAATAAACTTTATAATCATTCAGGAGGCCTTAATAGTGTCCGTAACCAGGGGAAAAATTGCAGTGACCACATCTTGAAATAATGACCTAAAATATGGAAAAAAATTATCTTTCAATTGGGTCTCTTGTCTTCAATTGGTAACTGTGTCCTTAACACTGAGGGTTACACATTCTCAAAATAAATTATATTTACACTAAAAAAGTCCAATTTAATCATTTTATCCACGTAAAATGCAGAGTGGGAACTCAGTTTTATGTTGAATGTTAGATATACAAGCACTGCTGTGCTGATTACCCTCAGACCTTGCATACTCAACTCAAAATAAACTTGACTGCAGTGAGATTGTATTGCTGCTGTCTGAGAGATATAAATAGATAAAAAAGAGAAGCTTTGGCTTTGCAGAGATGATTTTGAGTTGCATATACTTTTGTTCTTATTTTGGACATTAGCTAAGCTCCACATTTGAAATCTTGAAAATCGGATGAAAAAGAAAGAAAAAAAAAACTTATTGTTGCACTTTTCAGTGAACTGTGCTGAATGAGAGGAAGAAATCACCATTCTGACAAGAGAAAGGAGAATGCGCTGTTGCACATTATAAAATGTGCAGACATCAGTGATGCAGAATGCTCATTTCTATGCACAGATCGATTATAGGCTGATTAGTCTGCTGGCAGCATAGCTGTTTAAAATCGTTTTTGTAACAGAGATGGCAAATCTGATCACACCATTACATTTAATTACAAAATTATTACTAGTATATTAGTTGTAAAATTGGTCAGTTAGTCCTCCAGTAACCTAAGCCATGGCAGCATAGCTACACAAATACTTCATGATAATCTAAGCCAGTCTAACTATCAGTTTTATCATAAAGGGAAGGTTTAAGCCTGGTCTAGAAAGTAGACGGGGTGTCTGCATCAGTTAAGTCGGGGCTGTTTTCACAGGAGAGGAGCTTGATAATTAAATCATCAGCCTCCGAATCCACTTTTCTACAAATCACCAATAAACCTCTAATCTGACAGCAAAGTCCTCCATTAGGTTAATCTGGAACAATCAGATCTCTGATTTATAATTGAGTTTGATTGTTAATGGCTTCACATGTAGGAAGCTGAAATTATAATCTGGATTTTACAGGGACTCGGTGAAGGAACACTATTGTCAGGTGAACCCGATATTCAGCCAGACACAGAGTTATGTTTAAAGGGTTTATTGTAGGGGTGAATAATGGCAGATGAAAAAGGCAAACAGCCACAGTCTTGGCAGAAGAATTATGTTTGAAATTGCTGGTTTGCAGGGATGAGCAGAGAACCAGGATATGTAGGTGTTGACAGAACCAACAGGCCTTGTGGAGCGGAAAACCCCACAGAACGGGCAAGCAAGCACCTGAGACTCACAGAGGAACAGGACTTAGGCAACCTCAACTCGGACAGTTTACCTGGCAGGGCCCACAGGATCCGGTATAGAAGGAAACAGGGTGGACTGGAGTATGCAGGCACAGGCTACCTTAGCAGGAGAGTCTAGCTTGCAGAGCACACATGTGCTAGTGAAGCAAAGGCAAATAACATGTGAAGACAGTGAGACGTTCTGGCAGAGATGAGTAGGCAGAGGCAGGTATAGGTAGGCGAATCAGTGAGCAGGTTATATTCAAATTGTTTTATTTCTATAGCGCCAATTCACAACACATGTCATCTCAAGGGCACTTTACAATTCAACTAGATCATACACTGAGATTGATTCAAAGTTTTCTATCTACGGAAAACCAGTTGATTGCATCGACTCATTGACTTGAAGGCAATCCCTCACACTAAGCATGCTTGTAGCGACAGTAGAGAGGAAAAAACTGCCTTTTAGCAGCTAAACCAGGCTTAGTGTGAGCGGCGATCTGGCGAGGCCGAATGGGGTTCAAGGAGACAGAAGCAGAGATACATAAAGGCAACTCTTAACCAGCTCCACAGGGTTCAGGAAACATCCAGCACATCCAGATAGTCACAATTAGAGAAACAGGACTAGAAATACGCAGAGCTCAAACATCAATAAACAAAGGTGTTGATGGCAGCAGTACAGCTGATACACTATATTGCCAAAAGTATTTGCTCACCTGCCTTGACTCACATATGAGCTTAAGTGACATCCCGTTCCTAATCCATAGGGTTCAATATGACGTCGGTCCACCCTTTGCAGCTAGAACAGCTTCAACTCTTCTGGGAAGGCTGTCCACAAGGTTTAGGAGTGTGTTTATGGGAATTTTTGACCATTCTTCCAGAAGCGCATTTGTGAGGTCGCACACTGATGTTGGACGAGAAGGCCTGGCTCTCAGTCTCCGCTCTAATTCATCCCAAAGGTGTTCTATCGGGTTGAGGTCAGGAC